TATTGACCATCTCATGTAATTTATTGAATACTGTACTGAAAGTGAGAAGCATAATGGTTGCATGGATACTCAAAGCACAGTTTCTGCTGGATACCTATGGCTTTCACACCATGTTGAAGTCAAAAAATCTTAACCCAAACCATCGTAAATTGGAGACCGTCTGTATACATAAAAGGATACCAAAAAAGGAAAATACATTCAGAAAGTAAAAGTGCCCATCACATTCTGGGCACCATGCTAGGTCCTGAGAATGCCACGGTGAGGAAGGTGATATGATTCCTGCCCTCCTGTAGTTTATTGTAAACTGAAGAAGAAAAAGGTTATTGCTCAAAGCAGGATTAGAACTTCCTCGGTGGCAGCCAGAAGTAGAAGATGCACACAGAAGTATTTAACCTGGGACAGGGGCAAGAAAGGCTTCCAGGAGGAAGCAAAAGCTAAGCTTAGATCTGTGGATGGCATGGACATAATCGAGTGAAAGGAGGATCATGCGATGGGGAAGGCAAGTGTTCCAGGCTGAGGAGCAGCACATTCAAAAGCACTGAAATAAGAGAGAATAGGACCACAGTGTGAGAGAGAAGAGGAGTCTGGTGTAGCTAATATGTAAAATGCAAGGAGGTGCAATGGGCCTGACAGGGAGCAATCTCGCTGGCTGAGGGTACAGAAAGAATAGAAGGAAAGGAGACTGAAGGGAGAAGAGTGGAAGGTTACACAGACTCTTCAGTAACACAGAGAAAGGCTATTGTAGCCCAAGGCAGAGCCGTGACAGAGAGACCACCGGATGATGGAGGTCATGCTGGAGCACAATCCAGACAGCCAGTGATTCAGAAAGTGGTTGTGAAAGAAGAGAGGTCAAGCAAAGCTCCAGGATTAGAGAGTATGGAGGCTTAACTGGGGAACTGGGGTGTCACTCACTGTGTTGGGAAACAGTGGAAAGGAACAGGCATTGCTTCAATATTTCATATAATTATATCCCATTAGTTTCTTTAGGATTATTCTATAACTTCAAGAAACTTTTGTCTTCAGAGTTAAAGTACAAAAATATTTCCAGACATGAAAAGAAAAAAGAATGACCTTTAAAATGGCAATAACAGATATTGGACAGATATTTTGCTTGATGGCAATCAATACTCAGATTTCAAATCAATCAGAATTTTTATTGGTAACAAATAGAAGAAAAGGGTTCAAAAAGAATGCCTTAGGATGCTTACATTAAAAACTCACAGATAGAAATATGATGACTCCAACTAGATAAAC